TCACATTTAGAGTGCCTTCTAACCTAAGGGACTCATCTTCCAGCACTATATAGGAAAACGTTTTGCTGCTATTCATAAGGTTTACAGTGGTCATTCCCCCCCCCCCCGAAATAGACCATCATGTCCTTCCTTCTTCCTCGTCTTTCTTAGTCTGGAAGTTCCACTGAAACCTGTCCACCATAGGTGACCCTGCTGTTATCTGAAATACTGGTGGCATAGCTTCCAGTATCACAGCAACTTTCAAGCCACCACAGTATGCAAAACTGACAAATGGTATACAGACTGAGAGGGCATTTTTTTCAGTAATAATTCTCTTAATTCAAGAACAGGGATTATATACCTGCAATTAACCTTTCAGAATCCAGCCTTACATTAATAAGCCACTTTTTACCCCAGAAGTGGCCCTTGGAAAATCTTTTCAGGATTCTCACATCCATCTGGTAAAAGGAAAAGAGCCTAGAAACTGAGCTGACTTCATAACCAGTTTAATTTCACACATGTTACACTTCAGAAGATGCCTTGTTTTTCCCTTTATCCTGCATAACTGCAGAGAAAATTCATAGACTTTCTAAAGGTGAGAATCTTACCATTAGTAAGAAAATATCACTTTATATTAAGTTGGCCTTCTTTTGGAGATGTTCCAACAGCTTTATAAAAAAATTCTTTCATGTCACAAAGCAGGTAGGTGGTAATTATTATTCTTTCTGGACAAGAGGTAGAATTGAGAATCTTAGCCATACAGAATTGAAATGTTTTTTAAGTGTCTGGGGAAAAGCAAAAACAAAGCTTTTAGAATAAGAGATAGGACAGATGTGACCAAAAATAGGAATAAGAATGGTATATAAAATACTAAAAGAGGAGAATTCTCCTATAATCAGCTCACTCTCAACAACAGTTTCTCAGAAGCTGCCACTTTGCATTTCTATGGTTGTATAGCTTCAAAACTGGCACTGGCCTGGAAAATCAGGCATGGTGAATGCTAATTTTGGTGCAAATAAGAGATTTTCTCTCTCTCTGATCTTTGCTGGGAAACAGGATCAACAATCCTAACTCCATAAATTAAAAGTTGACACTAAAGTAATGTACATGTACTTAAATCTATTATCCCACTGATTTTAATAAGTCAGCATATCACAATAACACTAAAACGTCAGATCTGTGCTGGGCTTTTAACTTACAAGAAAACTTCTCAGTTATTACTGTTATCTTACTGACAGTCTTGTGAAGTGGTCAAGGTTTCACCACCCTTGCTTTAAGGTAAGGAAACAAGGCCATCTGGCTGCTGCAAAGTCACTCCAAAGATTCTCCTAATGCTACAAGTTTCCTGCACTTTGTTCCCTTCTGTTTTGCTCCCCTCACACCTACCACCCAAGGAATTGACAGGAAGCCTTATATTCCTTTAAATGCCACAGGGAAAACAGCATGGGTTTGGAGTCCTAAGCCTTGGATTTGAATCCCCACTCTGTCCCTTGTTAGCTAAAGACCAGATAAGTTACTTAACGTGTGTGTGACCAATTTTCTTTATGAAAATAAGTAATAAAATCTACCTTGTACCATTGTTATCAGGAATAAATCAAATAGTATATCCTTAATGCCTATACAAGTGCTTACTACACCACGAGTGCCAGCCACTGATACCTTTACTTACTGTAGAAACCTGGAGAGCATTTAGGACTTGAAGTGTCTGTAGGGGTACTGAAACTGGCAAAGTAATAGGGCAGTGAGCAATGGACTAATCACAATGACTATTGCTCTGCTTTCTGCTTTTGCAGCAAATCAAGAAAAAAAGGGCTGTTTTTATTTAACTGTTTTTAATTAATTTAACACTATTGGGAGTGCTAGAGATGGAAATTTCTGAATCTAGACCAAACATTCAAAAGTTATCTATGATTCTGAGCTCTCCCAAGGGAGATATTACCTCCTTAAACCTTTTAAAGCCTCCATTATCTAATCCATAAAGTGGGGATAACGTTGACTCATTTTATGGGATTGTTACAAGGATTAGATAAGCTGAAATGTGTGAAAGCATCTGACTATGTTCTATAAACAAAGTCAAGTATGGCATTATCATCTCCATTTTTACAAATGAGAAAATCTAAGTCTAGAGACTGGCTGAACAGAGATAAAGTAGCTTGTTTGTTACTCCAGTGTGAAAGGACAGAACACAGGCCTCCTTCCTATTTCCTGTTGTTGCTAGTTATCACTGAGTCAATTTCTACTCATGCGGACCCATGTGTGCAGAGTAGATCTGCTCCACAGGGTTGTTAAGGCTGTGATATTTCAGAAGCAGATTAAGCCAGGCTTGTCTTCTGAGGTACCTCTGGGTGGGTCTGAACCACCAATCTTCCAGCTAGTGGTCAAGTACTTAACCATTTGCTCCATCAACTTCCTACATGGTCAAATGTCTTAGACTGGCTGCTCCAGGCCTCGTGCTCAGCAGTTCTCCTGGTACTCCCCTTTGCCATCCTATGGGAATCCCCTTTCACTGCTGGAAAGTGCTGGATCCTGTTTCCTGACTTTCACATTTTCCACTTTCTTGGCTCATCTTGACAAAGCACTTCCTTTGGATATTTTTGAGAAATTATATGTGGAAGTTAAAGTTTTAAGTCTTTCATGTCTGAAAATATCTTAAACTCTGTCTTGTTCAGTTGGCTGGGTATAATTTGAAATTAAGAATCATCTTCCTCAGAATTCTGAAAGCATTGCTCCGTGTACCTTAAAGTTTCCAGTGTTATTGTTGAGAAATCCAGTGGCATTCTGATTTGTAATCCTCTGTTTGCTTTCTGGACACTTTTACGATCTTCTGAAATCTCACAATGATGTGCCTTGATGGGAGTCTTCTTCCACCTTATTGCACTGGACATTCATGAGCCCTTTAATCTGGAGACTTGCATTATTCTGTTTTAGAAATTTTCTTTTGTATTGTTGCATTGGCGATGTTCTCCTCTCCATTTTTTAATTCTCTCTGAAATGCCTGTCAATTGGATGTAAGACATTGAGGATTAATCCTTAATTCCTGTCTTTTATTTATTTTCCCACTTGTCATCTTTTTGTCTTATTTTCTGACAGATATCTTTTACTCCAAGCCTTCTAATGGAATTTTTTAATTTTATATATTTTTAAATTGTCCCCTCCCCATTTCCCATCTTTAAGGACAAACTGTATCCAACTCTTCTTGAATGGACACAATGTCTTTTCCTATTTCTCTGAGGAATTAAATATAGTTTCTTTAAAGGTTTCTTCTGTTCTCTGCATTGTCTCTAACCTCCTTCATCCCCTACCCCGTTCTTTTTCTGTTTATTTCAGTCTCTTTTATTCTGAAGGGTGTTCATTCATATTTAAGAGTGAGGCAAGGCACTAAAAAGCTGACTGGCAGCTCTGCATGCCTGGATGGCGCTTATTAACTGCTAGCTTTTACCACAAGAGGATTAGGCAGCAAGTGGACTTCTCTCACTGGAAAAGCCCCACATGTCAGCATCTATACATCTTCTCCTGGGGACCACTCCATTTCTCTGGGTTTTTTTAAAAACAAAATCCTCCAATTTTTTCTGACTTGGTGGTGGGACACTAATACACATGTCTGTCAATATTTAGAGAATGGAGGTGAGAGAAGGGGATGGGGCTCCACTGTTCATTATGCAAGCTTTCATCTTTTTGGGGCAGTAATAAATGGATGATGAACTTTGACAAAAGCTCCAAACTTTAGGATCAAATTAGTTCAAGTGAAAACAAGCACAGCAACAGGTTTTTTTAATTATTATTATTATTACTATTTCCAAATGAAATATTTGCAAGTGAAGATAGGGAGAGAGAACAAACACTCTAATGATCTTCTTCTTTACTCTTCTTCCTATTATTAACTTATACATTATGTTTCCTTTTCTCTGCCCTTCGAAGGCCAGACTTACAAACCCACCATCATCATGATTTCAACCATAATGAGCTACTTTTTCATTTGTTATGAGCTTACTGACAGGATAAATAAAAAAGGCTCTGCTGTCTGTAACCTACATGCAAGCATTATAGACTGCTTGACCTGTCTTCATGACTTTTAGGAGAAGCTGGGTAAAAGAAAAAGGAAAGAGAAGATCCCCAGTGTAAAGTGTACTTGTGGAACAAATCACCCAGGCAGGGTCACAAACATCTCTCTGAGGTAGCCCACTTCTTCCAAATTCTGGCCTAATAACAAGGACAGCACAGGGTTGTCAAGCACAAGAAAAAACTCAATTCACCCAACATCACTAAGTATCTACCAAAGATATACAATCAATACCAACTCTATGTTCTACTTGATTAGAAAATAAGACTTCTTTCAGCCCCGCTTTTTTTAGGCTCCACATTTGGGAACATAAAAGCCTTTTAAATATTCATGGTAATTTCTGTGCTCTGATTACAGGTTACCTTAACTGTGTAACATGAGTCTGAAATACATTTATTAAATATTATAAGTTTAAATGCCTGCTATAATTACCAGAAACATTGACTATTCTACACAGTTTAGAAACTACTAAAAATCGAAGCCAAAGGCCTTTAAGAAGATAAATGTATTTTATCTATTTTGTCTCACAGCTGTGCACATTTAAAATGCCAAGTTGTACTTAAAAAGTATTATTAGAATAAAAGTTACAATTTAAAATTTTTATTTCAAAGTGGCCTGATATATCTAGAAAACATAATTCCTTTAGGAAATGTGAACTATGAAACAATTTATTTCTAGTTTATTAAACAAATGTTAATCATCCTCGACTGAGCTAACTTTTCATGTAACAGACCAAAAAAACAAACCAAACTCATTGCCGTCAAGTTGGTCCCAACTCATAGCAACCCCTCCTTGGATTTTCGAGGCAGTATCTCTCCGAAAGTAGAATGCCCAGCCTTCCTTCCGAAGAGTGGCTGATGGGTTTGAACCACCAGCCTTCTGGTTAGCAGTCAAGTGCCTTGGGCACTATGCCACATTTCACTGGTCAACTCATGGCTGCATACACATAATGAACACTTACCAGGTTTTTGAAAAGTGCTGTCAACTCCTTTGTAAACACGGAGAACTTCAGGAATGCACTTCCCAAATCTGGGTCATCTCTGCACACACAGTTGCCACCAAACTTCTCCAGAGCTTGGGTGTACTGCTCTTCATTTTCCACATGAGCTACAATAGCAACGTGAGATGTACTATTAATGCTTGGAGCAAGCACGTGATCCCCATTCCCCACCAAGATCATCTTAGCTGGAAATAAAATCGATCATATTAGCAGAATAAAATCTCAGAAAAGTCAAAGAGCAGAAGTAACTTTGCTATCTCAATAATAAATAACTCATTGTGCCAGCAACAGATCCCAAAGAACAAGCCTGATGACAAGAGGAGAAAAGTAACTGCACCAAGTACCACTGTTTTCAACAGATCAGATGAGACTGCCAAGGATACTGCAATGCTTCCATATCATCTATGACTTCTCATTGGCCTAAACAATGACAGAAGTCACAAGTCAAGTTAACAGACTCAGCCCCCTTCTAGAATCTCAACAAGAGATGTCTTATTCCTCTCCCGCCTGAAGCTCACTTTTCTAATTCCAGGCCACAGACAACAGCTACTACTTCTTTCAAAACAGGAATAGTGGTCCTCAAAGTATAGTAAAGGGCAGCAAAGAAGGTCAGCAGTGCCTCCATGTCTCTCCTCATAATATGTCCTCTGCCCTCCATACCCTCACTCCAAACCATCTAACAGACTCATCTTTCCTCTGGGAAGCCTTCCAAGGCTCCATTCTATACCCTAGGTATCTAGGTTTGGCACCTCTATCCTTCCACATAGCAACATTACACCCAAATTGTCTGATAAATGTGTTCCTCAATACACTGGAAGCTCTCAGAAGACACCAGTTACCAGCTGCCACTGAGTCAATTCTAACTCATGGTGACCCCAAGTATGCAGAGTAGAACTGTGCTCCACTGGGTTTTCAAGGCTGTGACCTTTTGGAAGAAGATCACCAGGCTTTTTTTTTTTTTTGAGGTGTTTTTGAGTGGACTTGACCTGACAACCTTTTGGTTAGTACTGAAGTGATTAACCATTTGTACTACCCAGGCACTTCTCTTAGAGGATAGGGATTAAGTTCTATTCACCTCTTTGCCTAAATTACAAGATACATACCACACACGTTGCTTGAACATAAAAGGCAAACCCCAATTATTCATCTGATGGCAAATAATTTTACTACCAATAGGCCTCAAAGCAGCACCTTAAATAGTGAAAACCTAGATTCCAGGTCTCTAACTAAGTAGTTCTCATTACCTATTGGAAATCAAAATGATACATGCATTCATAGCTAGAAGCCAGATAGTCTCATCCAAGACTTCTAATTCAGAAACAGAGGGTAGGGAGCACAAGTAATTCTGCTAAATTAATGGGATTTAATGTTATTCCCTCATTACTGAGTCAAGGAGCTCTGGCAGTGTAGTGCTTAAGGTACTTGGCTGCCAAACAAAAGGTCAGTGTTTCTAAACCCACTACCCACTCCACCGAAGAAAGATGAGGCAGTGTGTTCCACAAAGATCAAAGCCTTAGAAACCCAGAGGGGATCGCTATGAGTCGGAATTGACTTGATAGCAGAGAGTGTGGTTTTTGGTTTGGTTCACTACTGGGTCAGGAATTTTTAAGTGAATGTAGCCAGTCTATAATAAAACAACTTGAGATTCAAAATGGAGTCTTGTCAGTAATCACCACGCTATTTCCCTCTAGCATCTTAGTGCTTGAAAAACTAGGTACAGCAGTTTGAATTAGGGATTTTGGTGCTCTAAACAGCTCACTGACTCAGAGTGCACCAAACTCAGAGGAGTAGAATTAGAGAGAAGAAAGGTACAGGGGTAAAAAAAAAAAAAAAAAAGAAGAGCTATCTTGGGGAGCGCAGACAAGCAGTCGAGAACGGCCATCCGAGACCTCCCTGGGATAAGAAAGAAGATGCACCAAACCAGCATACCAGTGAACACACCAGCATACCAACGATCACCCCAAGGATCTACCTTCAGCACCTGATTTTATCAGTAACTTGGGTCAGCTAGGTGCAGATGGGCACATCTAGCACCGCTGAAACCCGAGCAGAGAGTCCACTGATACTCTAGGAGGGAGGGCCCACTCCCCCCTCAGCGAGTCACTGAGTAGGCTTCGGTCAGCTTAGTGGCACTGAGAGGTCTGCGCTTGACTTTATCAGTAATCGTGGAACCACAGATTACTAGCAGGCACTCTCCCAACTCCAGCACTGTGAAACTGAGCAGATCTTTGGCACCAGGGGGCGGGGGGAGGTGGAATCACAGAGGAACTCCTAAGTGGATCACAGTCTGAGCAAGTTGGTCCAGCACCGTGAGTGAGTGGGGCCAGAGAGAGAAACCCCTGCAGTGGATCGTGGAGCCAGGAAGTTGTCTTGGGTTGGCTGTTTGGTGCGAAAGGGCCTTAGGAGTGAGTGGAGTTTTTGCATGTGTCCAAGACTGGCGGAAAGTGGTGACCCCCTAACAACTGGAGTCTTTGCTGAAATTGAGCTGCGGGTCTGTAAATAACAGTACAATGTCATCAGTAGCAGCCCACTCAAAGCCCTAGAAACCACCCCTAGCAATAGCGAGCTTTCCTTCTTCCACTCTCATCTTCTCTGCCAATAACTTCACTCATGCAATAGAAGAAACCACATTCAGCCAACATAAAACCTTCCAGTTCGAACTCTAAACCCTCTCTATGACAAACAGAAATCCATATCCACATTCCACACAGTGATTCCACCATCACAAAGAAAACTGCTGAGCAACCCAGCATACCTGAATTAATAACTAAATAAAATAAAATACACCAGCTTCACTTTTTTAAACTATTAAACCATAAAACCAAGAAAAAACAAATCAATATATAACCAATAATTAAAGACAGCCTCAAAATGTCTAGGAAACAACAGGCAACAGGACAAGGCATTAGAAGCAGAACAACAAACAAAGTTCTCATTACACATGGAGGAAGAGGAGGCAATAGAATTATCTGAGAAGGAATTTAGAAGATATGCTTATGGAGCTACACAAGAGCCTAAAGAAACCCCAAAGAGAAACAAGGAGAA